CTAAACCCTAAACCCTACACCGGGGCTTGGACTCCCACCCCAAACCCGGAAGCCCCAGGATCCTGATGGACCCGCAGCCCCCAAGCTTGAACCTAACTTCTGAAAGCGACCCTTTAGGGGTTAGGGTTTAGGGTGAAAGCGACCTCATGTACATCAGGGAGAGCTCGTGAAGAGACTTCGGAATGCTCCGCACCAGGAGCCTAGTGGTTCGGGGCTTCGGCGTTTGGGTTAGGGTAGGGTTCAGTTTAGGGTTTAGGGATTGGCGTTTAGGGTTTGGGGTTTCGGGCTCGGGGCTTAAGATTTTTGAGTGGTTGTTTATGACTTGGGATTTAGGGTTTGGGGTTCGCAAAGGACTTGGGCGTGTTTGGCTTCGGGCTTTCGGGTTCAGGATGTGGGGGTTTGCGAGCTCAGGGTTCAGGAAGTTGGGTTTGGGGTTTAGCGTTTAGGGTTTGGGGTTTAGGTATAGGGTTTAGGGTTTAGGGTACCCTAAACCCTAAACCCATGTTGGCATAAGACCCTCAGACAGTTAAACGAAACCCCTGCCCTGCACCCTAAGCGAAGTCCCTAAAGTCCCCAGCATGAAGTTCTGTGAGGTAACGGATAGGTATGGTTTAGGGCTTCGGGTTTAGCGCAGTGAGGCCCAACTCGATAGATTAGGCTAGTCAGTAAGTAGGGCGATGGTTACGGTAATAAAAACTGCTCATCACCGTGATTTTGCACCACCATAACCCGTGAACCCTCAACTTGGGTAGCTCCAGGCGTCGCTACCCGAGTCACATAGAATCCTGAATCTTTGAAAATACGTCTTACCTTGAGGCTCCTTGAACTGATGAGGACCCTATGCTGAGCCGTGATAGTAAACCTTTTAACCCCCTTGAAAGTTTAAAGGAACCCTCTGAAGGGTCCCTAAACTCGAAACCCCTAAACCCTAAACCCTTACCTCTAACCAAAGAAAGCACTACTTGGGAAGTGCCCCCGATCTCCGCTACGTCAACCCCAAGAGCTAGCACAATTGACTACTACAGGGGCCTTCACATCAGGGTTCCTTTAAACGGTTCTCTTGTTGAGGGGGTTTCCTTTTGGGTATTAGCCAAGTGGGACGAAGCGGACGTACAGTTCGTAGTTCAAACCACCCTCTGCATGACTCTGACAGGTTCAGGTTTGGCCCAGCTCTCAGGGTCTGTGGGGTGTAGGGCGTAGGGTTCAGGATTTAACGTTTAGAGCGTCGGGTCTAGGTGTGTATGCATGCATACATATATATATATATATGTACACACACATACATATATACACATATACATATACATATACACATATGCATATACATGTACATGTAGTGACTCAGAGTCGCCCCTTGGCACAGAAGGACGGGCACCCGCGCTGTCTCCACCATGACATGGCGCTAAGCCGCAAGCGGGGCGTAATGTAGGGGCCTAAATAATAACCAACACTATCTTTTGGGCGGTCCTTGCTATAGTTATAGCATAATGGGCCCCAAAACCTTATTCTGATTATTAAGCCCCCTCTATTCGGGCTCCGAAAACGTCATGGCCCCATGCGCGGCAGAGCAAGCAACCGGCACATGTACACATACATATACGTGTACGTAGTACGAGAACATCTACTCTACATCTACATCTACAAACTCATATGCATAGTCCATAATACATACTACGCAATATATAAGCATATACATAATACATATACATAAATATATGAATATATACGTGTGTATATATATATATATATACACGTTGTCATATGTGTGTATATATATACACGTTATCACATTATATTGTTTAGTTTATATGATATTGTACTATATTATATTACAGCATGTTATATTCTATTTTACTAGATTATACCATCCTATATACATATGTATATATATATATATATATATGTTTATTTAATTATATTTATTTATTTGTTATGTACTTGCTTGTATTTGAATACAATGTATATATATATATATATAAGTAAAAATATGTGCGTATGCGTGCACGTACTTATCGAGCTCTCGCAAAACTCAGAATTCTTGCTGGGAGCCGTACGCTCAAAACTTCTGTACGAAGCTGTAGCCCTACCAATACCTAAACCTAAACCCTAAAAATAAACCCCAAGTTCTAACCCATCAAGCCCAGGATGAAAAGAAGCTGTATGCTTCGATGTGCGCATTGCGGTGCCCTAGACACTAAGCCCCAGGCCTGAACGTCTCCTCACTGATGACATCGCCCTCCCGCTTCCAGCAGCAGTTTCCCAGATCAAGCCTCGTCACCAGATGCCGGGTTCGAGTTTGAATAAGGGGCTTCTGTGAGGGAGCCATAAGGGTTCTACCAGGGGTAGGACTTTAGGCCTTAGGGCTTTCGGGTTTAAGATGTTTAGAGTTTGACTGACCTAAACAAATTCAAGCCTTTTGAACTTCAGCTCAAGGTCCAGAACCCCGTTTGAAAACATTTGGGGCAGTCACTCGCTGAATGTCAAAACCTGCAACGTAGAGGTCTGAATCATGAGCTGTAGTATCTCCTTACAGTCTCAGTATAAGTATCCCTAGAAACCAAACCCAATACCCTAAACCTTAAACCCTAAATCCAATACCCTAAACCTTAACCCTAAACCCAATACCCTAAACCTTAACCCTAAACACAATACCCTAAACCACACCCTGCACTCAAGGCATACGTCACCCACTTACTCTGGGTGCGGTGGCGCTTAAGCCCATCGCGAAAGACCAACTTATACAGGAGTCGCCGTCCCCACAGTACTGGGGACGTCGGACCCGGTACCGGAACACATTCGGCCCCGACCAGTACTGGTCCCTTGATAGACATCATTACCCCCATGAAGGGGCCGGGAAGGGGCGTCGCGCTGGGTGGTTTGGCCGCCTTATACGTCGTAGAGTGGGGGAGAAAGAAGGAAAAGCCTTCCAAGAGAGGCTTTCACAGGCCCATCGCCGCAGTACAGTGCACTCGACACAGCCTTGTCGCAGGTTACTGTCGCCTACGCACGATTCCCTGGCAAACTCAACACCCCAAACCCTAATGCCTAAACCCAGTACCCTGAACCTAAAACTCTAAGCCTGAACAGCCTGAACCCAAAACACCATAGGGCTCACAGAAGTTGAGCTTTACGATTTCGGCCAAGAGCTGTGAAGCTCCATTAGGGCTAGGAACTTTGCAAGCTTGAAAACTTCGTCGGCAAGTGTGAAAAAAAAAACCGTTGCCGACGAAGTTGCCGACGAATTCCGCGGCAGTTGCGAAAATTACACATGCTTCGTCGACAACTGCGAAACCTAGTCGGCAACCGTGAAATAAGCCTGTATGTTTCAATACATATGAAAGAGAGGTTTGGGGTTTAGGGTTAGGGTTTAGTGTTTGGTTGTAGGGTTTTGGATTTGAGGTTCTGGGTTTTGGGGCTTAGGGAATAGAGGGTACAGGGTTTGGAGAGTTTCAGGTTTATTGCCTGACTTGCCTATCTGTCAAACACAGCTAAAAGCGGAGCTGAGTGCGACCTCTTGCCGCCAAGCAGCTTCAAGTACTTCGCCGTTGGCGGAAGTCGCTTAAAGATCGACGTTGCCACAGCATCTCTATTCTGGATGTTCCGAAAGTTGATTTCATACTGGAGCAGCGCACCCCAAATCCGCGGGTCGTGGTCGAAAGCGTGCTGGCAGGCCTTGGAACAGCTGGCGAGACGCAGCATGCGGAGGCCAAGCAGGCTGGCCAGCGCGTCTGCAAAGTCCGCAAGCACGATCGGCATGGCGGACATGTTCCACTGCATCTTTCAACGCTGGCGTGCCATCATGCAGAACCAGGTGCAAATCGCATCTTCCTTCCGGCTAATTAACAGTCTTAGAGTCTGTCGCAATTTGCTGTTTGTACTCGTGGCAGGCAGCACTGAGCCACCGAATTTCTCCTGACATGCCGACTGCCAAATGCGCATGACAAACATGAATTACCAGCACTTCGACGACTACTACTCCTGTTTTCCCTGCTTCTCATACGCGTACTACTACTACTACTACTACTACTACTACTACTACTACTACTTTCTACTCCTGCTCTGGCTGTTACGACGACGACTTCGGCAACGACGACTACTTCTACTGCTAGTAATCTGCTTCCGCCACTGGTGGTACTACTACTCCTACTACTACTACTACTACTACTACTACAACTACTACCACTGCTCCTGAAACCACCACGACCACGACGACGACGACGCAACCGACGACGACGATTGCTATGACTACTGCTAGTGCTGCGGCAGCTACTGCACAGTGCTAGCCCTGCTACTGTTGCAGCTGCTACTCCTGCTGCCAGCAAGCACCTTTTGTGTCGAGCACTGGTGCATTGACATAACACAAGCCAACAAACACGGCTTGGAAAACCTGGGCAGCTTACACCACAGTTTCCTGCGGGTTGCATCGCGGTCCCGCTAGCACCAGCGAGCTGAATTAGCTCAGCCGACGAAACCCAGCCCTCACTGAGGGGAATAATTTCTCTTTCGACCTTCGGAATTCTACGTCGAAGATCATAACTCCTGATAACCCAACCCGCCAAAAACACGGATTGCCTTCACCGCAACACCGTCACGCAGAGATCATTTCATTCTGGTGCCACTGGAGCTCACATCAACCTCAAAGCTGTAAACGGGCTTAATTCTGGGCTTAGGGTTTAAGCTTTGAGCATAATCATAAGCATTTTACAAGGATATCCCTACCTTATTGGGGTTCATTATGAGGGTATTGCTGTCGGATATTCCTGTCCGATGTTTCGCTTATGTGCTGTTGCAGGCCCCCAAATAGAGAGGCCCCAATAATTGGAATAGGGTGTTGGGGTATATAGCAAACAACCTTGGGGAGTCAGACAGGCTGCTAGTACCTAATTATTTCGACCCCTATGTTAGCTATCGTTGCAGATTCAAGTCTTTCTTAAGCTGAATTTCCGTTCAGGGGTCTTTGCTGTTTACATTCGGGCTGCATCCATTGGTGTCCCTCGTTTTAAGAAGCTCACGTTTGCCATTACCTTAACTTTAACCTACCAGAACCCACTTTTCTGTAGGTTCTTACTCTTACTATAAACCCGAATATGGGATTTATAGGGACCCTACAAAAAAGTAGGTTCTGGTAGGTTAAGGTAGGGCTTAAGGAACTCCTGGCCGCACCTCTGCGAGTCTAAACGCAGTAGCCTGCGGAGTTTCGTTGGCTTTTGGAGGGCCATTTCCATCTGCTCCTAGATTTTAGAGCTCACCCTAAACCCTAAACCCTAAACCCTAAACCCTAAACCCTAAACCCGAAACCCTAATCCGCGAAGGGCTTCTGGCCGATATTCATAAGTTCGGGGTTTTGGGAATGCGGCGGGGCTCTCACGACCGCTGGAAGCTTGGGCAGTCCCACACCCCGTGAAGGCCCTGTGAAACCTGTCTAGAATAGTTTAGCTTAACATAGTTTAGTATAGTATAGTTTCGAAAAGTGTAGATTAATTTAGTATAGGGTAGTATAGTATATAGTACAAAAATATAGTAGTAAAGGCATGGTACTGTATAGCACAAGATAATAGAGCATAATACAGTCTAGTACAGTACAGTACAGTACAGTACAGTACAGTACAGTACAGTACAGTACAGTACAATACAGTACAGTAAGTGCAGTATAGTACAGAATACTAGTTAGAGTACAGTATATTACGGTATGTACCCTATGGTACACGATAGCACAATACAGTATAGTGTATAGTATAGCATGCATGAGTACTATCCTAGAGATAGTACATAATCATAGTCTATATTAGTATATAGCCTCATCAAGGTCCCAAAGCCCCCTATACCGGAGCTCTGCACGCTCCCCCAGAGCTGAACTGCTAGAAGGAACACTGAATGTAGGGGCTTAAATAATCACCTATACTATTTTGGGGGGGTCCTTATTTATAATTATACTATACAGGGCTCCAGAACCCTATTCTAATTATTAAGGCCCGAAAGCCCTAAACCCTTATAGCAGCCCTTATAGCATCCCTTGAAGGAGCCCTTTAAAAAAGGAACCCTATGAAACCCTATTCTAACTATTAAGGCCCTAAGCCCTAAACCCTAAACCCTAAACCCTAAACCCTTAACCCTAAATCCTAAATAGATTAAACTTGTAAAGCAGGTGATGGGCCTCGGTGGGCTGTCCTCATCAGGCCGACTTTGAACGGTTCAGGGCTTCTGGTGGTTTCGGATTTTACGGTTTTAAGGGTTTAAAGTTGAGAGTATTCTGGGGGCCCTAAACCCTAAACCCTAAAGCCCTAAACCCTAAACCCTAAACCCGAAACCCTAAACCCTAAACCCTAAACCGATTTGAGGTATTTGGAGCTGAGGTTTTCGACTCGGGGTGTTTTTAGATTTTAGCTTCAAGCCCGACAGTCGTCATCAGGGCCGTAGGAGGGTGTATATAGAGTTTTAACCCCTAAACCCATAGAGCCTACACCCCTAAACCCTAGACCCTGAACCCCTAAACCCCTAAACCCCTAAACCTTAAACCCTAAACCCCTTAACCCCTAAACCTTAAGCCCCTAACCCCTAAACCCTAACCCCTTTCAAACCCGGAGGTTTTAGTGCCTAGGCAGCAGGGTTCAGGCCGCTGATTCGTGAGTTCACAGCTCGGACACTGTCCCAGCGAATGGAGACACCTCAAGGAATGCGGTGGGGGGATTTAGGGGTTTAGGCTTCTGGGTTTAGGAGTTTATGGTTTAGGGTTTAGGGTTTTGGGGTTTTGGGGTTCTGGGTTTAGGGTCCCTAAACCCTAAACCCTAAACCCTAAAGAAGCCCGACCTGAGCAGCGCCAGTGTCAGCTGGAGAGATGCTCGTATGGCCTTGCAATATGGGAGTTTCCGAAAAATAGGGGACCCGAATATAGTACCCTAAATAATAGGATCCTTATTCTAAGGACCCCAAAATAAGGTACCACAAATTTTCCGAAACCCCCATATGCAGTGGGGTTACGGAGCCAATATGCTTTAACCCGGGATGCAGTGGGTCGCTGGCGTACGCCAAGCGCCAGGCTGCAAGAAGGTCTGATAGAGACGAAGAGGCAGGCTGCTTTTAATTAAGTGGAAACTAGCAACAGATCGCCCGTACAGTCCGCCTCGAGCAAGCCGGGACGGATTTGAAGATCTGGGTCAGACTTCAAAGCGCAAGTGCACAGGGATGAATGGGAGCGTCGAGGTTTTTCCTACGAAATTCTGTCGGTGGATGCCTTCCAGTTATGCTCAGGCAGGAACTGCAGCGGTTCAACGCTCGTTTGTTGATAGTGTGACCCTAGACCCTGAACCCATCTACACCCCAAACCTTGGTGACCTTGATTGATTGGCCGGCCCCCCACATGCCAGAATGCGGTTTTGCTTTAGTCTGCAGGGATAATTATAATTAGGACCTTCATTACAGGAAGACGTCGTGGTATGCTGTATCCCTACTGCTTGGACACAGGCTCTCTAGATTACCACCGCAGACTCTACTTAGTGTATACAAGTATCACGCGGAAGCTGTGGAGACCCTCAGATGACGGGGCGCCTGATCGTGCAACAGAGTGTGCCCGGCAGTGACACAAGGAACTTTGAAGTCCCCAAACAATAAACCTACCAACCCCGATCCCCACTGAATCGTATACGGTTAAATTCGGGTTCATACGAACCTCGCAACGAGCATGTCGATCCTTATAGAGAGCCCTTTCACACCCAATACGACCTTATAAGAACTCTTGGAAATCCCTACCACAAACGTACAAAAGTGCTGTCAGAAGACATAAAAAAACCGGTGACACCCGAGAAAAGCCCTTTTCGAACCTCTTTAAAATCCCAACAGTCTACACCGTAGATCGGTTGATAACCTTACTTGCGCCTGTGCCAGAACACGCGATAAACACCCCTTAAGGGCCTAACGAAACACCATTAGCAAACGACTTTGAGCGTCCCGCAATGCACCCTTATGGAACTCTTGTAGACACCCTTATACCATTATGGAGCCCTCATTGGAACAAACGCCTGTTTACGCTGTCACCGTCCCATACTGTGGCGTGAGGCCTCCGCCCAGCTGAGCGAATTTCCGTGGCTCGCGCGGCTCAGGTCCTGCGGCGCTCGCGGAATCTAGTCGCGCCCTGGCCTTTAAGACAGTCTTCGTAAAGTTTTCATAAGAGCTTTAAGGGTTGTATATCGAGTGAACGGCGTTCTAAGGCTACCATTGTCTGAAGCTGCTAGGGATCCAACGGGCAAATCCCTGTACCAAGGTCTTGTAAGGTTGTTTCGTGCCCCTGGTGTAGAAGCCCCTATGCAAGCTTGTCTCTTCACAGCATTGCTGAGTTGCCTGAGTCCTTAGTCATGCATTTTTTTCCTCAGGGTTTGTTATAAGTATACCATAAGATGATTCAAAACCCTGTTCTAATCAATAGGGCCCCGTGATTATTGCGGTTGGGAGCTAAGGTGCTAACGGGCGCTGGCATCAGCGCGGAGAGTGGCATCTGGACAGGTGTTGCAGGGTTTTGGTGTGTAGTGCTTAGTGTCGAGAGATAGTGCTCAGCAATGTCGTGTTTGGGGTACATTGGCTTCGTGGATTGGTGTGCATGGCTTGGGGTTCAGGCGCCGCGGTTTGCAGAACCTAAACCCTAAACCCTAAACCCCTAAACCCTAAGCCCTCAAACCCTTTTTCGATGCCTGGGCCCTTACAGACATGAAGCCTTGGGAGTTAAACACCACAACCCAGCTTGGGTCTTTTATCGGAGCAGCGAAGCCCAATGTAATATAGGGCCTAGATATTTACAAATACTGTTTTGGGGGTTCCTAATTATAGTTATAGTAGAATATCCCCCTTAAACTATTCTAATTATTCAGGCCCTAAACCCTAAACCCTAAACCCTAAACCCTAAACCCTAAACCCTAAACTAGATTATATTAGAGGTTCTGGCTTCATGCCGTGCTTCGACCTTAGGTTTCTGGGATGGCGGCGCGCCAGGCAGCAAACACCCTGGAGGGGGGAGTCCACCAGATGGAGGTTTTAGTGTTTAATGAATCAAGAATTTAGGGTGTAGGGTTGAGGGGAGGCTGTAGAGTTGAATGGAGAGGTCAGGAGAATTAGCATTATCCCCGCCTGTCACTGATCAAGGTTGCACTATAAAGTACTCCCACCCCTCTCCAAACAAAGAGCTGTTCGAAGGATTAAGGCCTCAACATCGACGGCTTACCGTGGGGGTCGGTGGGAGCGGGTCGCATTCCCTCGTGTCTTCATGGAGGCCATCAACCTGGCAATTGGCAATTGCTTCACACTCCCAGAGTTTTGTTCCAGGCTTCTTAAAATGGACTTGTGATAGGCCTTTAGAAGGGCTTCCTTAGGGCTCAATAAGGACGGCTCCATGAAGCAGAAGGGTTTAGGGGTTTAGGGTTTAGGGTTCTTACACTCTTAAGCCCCAAACCCTTAGACTAGCAACCCTAAAGGCCCTAAACCCTAAACCCTAAACCCTAAACCCTAAACCCAAACCCCTAGACTAACGGACCACTGAAGCCTCAAAGGTATTCCAACCTTCCGGGGTGCCGACGGCTTCTGGACCGTCGGGTCAAAGCACTACCAGCCGCAGGAGCGGCAATGTAGGGTTTAGGCTGTTGGGTTTAGGGTTTAGGCTGTTGGGTTTAGGATTTAGGGTTTAGGGTTTAGGGTTTAGGGCTTCGGGTTTAGGGTTTAGGGTTTAGGGGTAGGGTTTAGGGGTTAGGCTGTTGGGGTTTAGGGGTTAGGGCTTGGGGTTTAGGGGTTTGGGTTTGGGGGTTGGGGATAGTTAAGGGCCCTAAACCCCAAACCCTAAACCCTAAACCCTAAACCATAGGGTGCGGGTCAGGCTCGAAACCCGCCAGGCCGCAGACCTTAGAGCCAAGACTCCTGGACCCAAAGCTTGCCAGGCAGAAGGACTCGGGCCATACCTAAACCCGAAACCCTAAACCACTAAACCCTAAACCCCTAAACCCCTAAACCCCTAAACCCCTAAACTCGTAAACCCCTAAACCCCTAAACCCCTAAACCCTAAACCCTGAACCCTTCAGTCCTAAACCCTAAACCCTNNCCCTAAACTCTAAACCCTAAACGCATAGTGCCAAAACGAAACCTGAACAGAAGCCCTCTTATCTGCAACCCTCCAGACAGGAGTTGGCCACCTGGGAGAAGTACAACGAGATGCCTGCAGAGTTGTGGCGGTGGTATCAATACAGGCAAAGGGTCTAGGGTTTAGGGTTTAGGGTTTAGGGTTTAGGGTTTAGGGTTAGGGTTTAGGCAATCCTGTTTCCAAGAGGGCCTGGGTCCCCCTTGATGAGG